ATATATATATATAGAGAGAGAGTTAAACCAGTTAATTCTTGCTTAGTAGGGTGCATACTGCAGCTAGTCAGTTATCCCTGGAATTTTCACAAAACGATCAGTAGTTTACTTTGTGAATAGGCCCTTTGATGTATGGCCTGAGGTTAAAATGCTAATTAATCTCAATTTAGTTTGTGAGTAAGCCCTTTGGTGTATGACCTAAGGTTGAGATGTTAAGTAATCTCAGTAATTTACTCTGCATTATTTGCTGTGTCAACCAATCCTTCTGAGCTGATGTAAAAGTACTCTACTAGTTTGGTGCTGCTAACAATGTTTCACTAAAGGATGATCCTATATGACCTGTTCTAAACTGAGCTATTCTGTGTATGAATCTTCCTTCAGGTTTTTATATTTTTTCTGCCCCCTACTTTTCTAAACTAGGGCACACTTGTATTCTCAACAAAATAGTTTTGCATAAAATGATCCTGAAGTTAATTTGGAATTACAGAGAAATTTGAGCTTTTTAAAGATGTTGAAAATTTACTGTTGCAGAAATAATATAAAAACTTTTAACTTTCTCTTACCCATCTGTGGATGAAACATTTCCTTGAATATGTTTTTGTAAACAGAACTTTCCTAAAGATTCTGTGCTTGTTCTATTATTATTATGCAAGCAGGCTTTGTAATGCCTATCTCCTTTATATATGTTAAAATATTTCATGGATTTCTTTGGGTTACTGAATGTTGGAGATGGACAATGAACAGCTGAGTAAAATATTTCCATCTCGTTCTGCTGAGACTACAACTAACAGAATAATTTACTTTCTTCAAGTCTTGTATGTTAATTCAAAACCTGAAACTACATCTTTGTTCAACTAATTTTTGATGCCTTATTTCCTGGAAATAAGCCCAAACCATGTTACTGTTACATAGCATTTAATGCTATGTATACTGTTATACATTCACAATGCCAGAGTGCTGCACATGTACACACACACACACACACATTGCTGATATGTATTGTCATTCATACTTGTAGTTTGTATTGACCTGGAGAGAGGCAAAGCTAGCCTTATTTTATTTGTTATTTTGTTTTGTACTAATCAAAACTTTCATAAAATTTTGCTTGCAGTTATCATTATTATGTTCTGTTTAATTCGTGGATTACCTCGCTTTTCTCATGTTAACTAAGCCTTCCGTATTTCTAGTCTCGTATGTTTTATAACACTAGCCTTAGGCCCATACATGTTTAATCAAAAGGGGATCAGTGTTTCAAATGTGACGATTAACGATTAAAATTGAGAGTTTGATTTTGTAAATTTGATCGTTTTAGTTCCTACTGAAGGTTTATCAGTAAGAAGTTGATACAGCCATGTTAGTTTTATTGTCATAAGCATCTGTACTAAATATTAATGTTATTGGCATTACTTTTTGTAGCAAATTCCCACCTGCCCAGATATATGTATACAAAGAATACAATGTGTGGTAATGTAACTAACTGACCTGTATACATTGTACTGTGTTACCACACAAAGCCATCATATTTGGTTGAACTCCGTACAAAATTTACATGCACAAAGCAGCACAGGGGTGCAACTTGTCCATGATAGAAAGTTTAATGAGTAAAACAGCATTATTAGCCAATCACCAAAGCAAACTTTTCCTAATGTTTTCAGCCCTTTTCATGGGTTGTACCAACATTTCTCTTGTAAAATATACAATCTTCTTTTTTAAATAAAAAATTGGGAAAAGAAAATGTTTTTGGGGGGGTTCAAATTTTCGAGGTTTTATTTAGGGAATTTACCAATGATTTTGGTTGAAGATCGGAGTCAAATTATGCATGTAGTATGGGCATGGATAAATGTACAGTTGATTGTGATGCTGTTTTGACTAAGGTCTGTTCCTGGGTGCTAGTCATCCGTCAGACAATACAGGGTTTAAATTGGTATTCCGAGGAAGTTTTTAGTCATCTCGAACGATCATTAAAATCAAGCCCTGATTTATATTGGTAGGAGCTGTAAATATCTTAGTGGTAATATATAGTTTCCATGAAAATTTCCCCTGTGTTCAGCTTTAACATTAGCCTGCTTAAAAATGTGTACACCAAATGCAAACCCTCTTGAAAAATTTGTACAGGATGTGAAAAGTGCTTTTTATCTATTTCAAGCAACAGTTGTTTTATTTCTCATTATCAGCTGACAGCATATCAATTTTACACATTAGAACAGACCACCTAATGAAAAAACATTACTTTTACCCTACAATTTTAGTACTAGTAC